GCCAACACAATACCACACCAATCCTGGAGGAGAACCTCTTCCCCTCTCTCATGCAGGCCTGTAGCTCCCAGAATTGCTTTCCCTCTGCTTTCTTCCAAGGCAGAGGGAGAAGCAAATGGAAGCCCATCTGCATGTGAGGGGACTGTTCAATTCTGTACATTTTACTTGTGTTTTTGACTGTACAAGCAAACAGCCGCAGCCAGTGACCTGTGTCTTGCAATCAGCCCTCCTAAAACAAGCAGTTAACAGTACTCCTCAGGCAGCTTGCCATAGCTGCTGAAACAGAAAGAAGCAGTTTTGTTTCAAATGTGACTTTGAGTTGATTGTTGGAAACAAGGGGGTTTTGACGTGAATTTGATGTGGAATCAAGGATAGCGAACAACCAGCGAAAAGAAAGATGTTACTTTTCAGCATGACTTAACCAAAGTTTTGCAAGACTGATCTTCCTTTCATCATCTTGATATTGAATCAGGTAAGACAGACCAGTGCCTTCCCTGAATAGAACAGAATAGCATTGACTGAGGGTGGTACATTATTGTACCTTCATCCAAGGGTTCTCAAAAGAGAAATGGATCCCATTGTGTGCAGCAGTGTCTTTCAAACTAAACAAAAGCTATCCAGCTTAGTTTTAGGAGCATATGCTCCAGCTGTGTGTCCTGACAGGATCATTGACAATATTTTGTGTGTATCTCCACAGTTTACAGTGTCAGGTTCTTGCTCACTGTCCTAGAAACTATTCCAATAAACACGAGGGCATTGTTCCCTTTAAGTAATTAGAGAAAAATTGCATTTACTGTGTAATAAAATGCTGGGAAACTTCCATCATCACTGTTGTAAAGACGTTACACAATCACCCTTTCTCTGGAAAATATATATTAAGCTACACATGTGACTGGAATAGCACTACACTTGCACAGCTTGAAATATAATTTACACCTTGGAAAAGAAGCTGTAAAATATGCAGCCTGTCCTTTGATTAATCACAAAGATTATTTCATGTTCTTTCTGGTGCAGTGAAGAAGCAGCATTCTTTCCCACTTTAAATGGCCTTTGAGAACTTCAAAGTGGTACCTCTGAATAAATGGGAAGTGCTTCCCCTTCCAAGCCCCTTGCACAGAAGAGGCCAACCCGTGCCTCGTGAGGGCTGTGACACCCACAACACCTACAGCTAAATTTTCCACTATTTTTTGCTCAAACCAACCCCACATTTGATCTGAAAGTTCCCTGAGGAGCATGGCAAGAGTTCCAGGAACTCCTTTCTCTCTGTGACCTCCCCTCTCTATGCTATGACCACGTGGAGAGTGCTGCAAGACCAGGAATATTTTCTCACCTTGCCTTATTTGCATTGCTATGCAAAGATGCATCCCACCCAAAAATCAAGCCAGCAGACATTATAAAGGCCTCAGGAGGTTGTCTCGTTTCCAGAGGGACCCCACTAGCTCCTCTGGTAGGTAGCACAATTAATTTGGTTTGTATTTAACTGGCTCAAGCAATGAGCCACTATAAATAGTGCCCTATTTCCTCGTGCCAGTGGGATGGATAATGGGAGCTCCTTCACAAGGACACGCATCTTTCATTGCCTTTTGTGCATCAGAGATGGGGCTAATCAAGGAGTGCATTAACTGGGGATGAAATGACAAAAATTAGCACCACTATAATTTCAAGGCAAGATCTATACTCTTTCTGACTCTTCCTCAACCTTCATTTATGAATGACAGGTTGCTTCTCAGATTCCATTTAAACTCGTTATTAAAATGCAGTTATCTGTACAATCCATGCCATTCAAACTCAGATGTTTGCTCCCTCAAAGTACTGGCTGAGACAAGGCTGACCTGAGTCATTATTTCCCCTTACATTGTGCTGATAAGAATATTCAAGCTGATTAAAAATGAGTTTTTAAGAAAGCTAGTTGAAATTTCCAGACGTTTCCAAAAAAAATGCAATTCCCTTTTACAGTAGTAACCTATTTAGTCCTTGATTAATGCAACTGCACTGAGAATTTCTTTGTGTCAAATCATGGTGTCAACATTTCTAAACCAAAATATGAAGTGCCTGACTTGAGGCATTCAGACAAAGAGACCTCAACAAGTGTTGCTGAGACCAGCAAACCCTGAAGGGAGACATTGACTCTCTGCAGCATTATAAGGCTGACTTTGTTTTTGTTTAGGAGGTCAAATATTGGTCTAGCTATTTAATTATGGGTGCCTAAATTGCTAAGGGTTGACATCCATACCAATAAATAATTTTAAAATTCTGAACTTGTTTGTGAAACAACAGGCAATGAGCTAAATGTTAAGATCCTAAACAAATAAGGATAAATCCAACACTTTTGTATTTATATTTAAATGCCAAAGGCAGCTAGTTTTTGTTTCAAAACAACTTTCTATATAGCAAATTCTGTTTGCATAGTACACCATTGTGGCTAAATCCAGAAATCTGGTTAATCATATAAGCATCAGCAGTATTAAAAGCAATCATTTTACAGAGGTTTAAGAGAATTTAGAGATGTGTAAATAAAAATATATGTATTTAGGAACTGTTTAGGATATTATTATAGGGTGAACAAATAGTGCACAGACTTGCATTTTATTTCAATAGTGGCTTAGACACTCAAGGATGATAAATCTCTTGTTTTTAGCCATTAAACCCTCATGTTACTGTAAATTTCATAGAGAAAAAAAAAATACTCCTCTTCATTAGCAGCACTGCTATCTGGCCACGTCTGACACTTCAGAATTATACAAGCAGAGAGTCCCAATTCTGGAAGGTAGACATTAAGAGTAATAAATCTCTCTTTCTACAAGCCAGGAAAGGGCCAGGCTGGAAATACCTGGAGAGAAGGGAAAAGAATGTCAAGTTCTAACCAGATAAAAACTCAAGACCTGTTTTGAAGGGTCAGTTTTCTTCATTCCCTCTAGCTCCTCTCACCCCTTTGCTTTTCTGGCTGAGGAAGTTCAAGAATGAAGGTTTGGGGGGGGCTGCACTGCAATTTTTCCCACCTCCTCTCAAGCATGACTACACAGAGCTCAGCTTATAGGACCATGAGGGCAGCAACAAAACTTGTACAAACGCTGAAAGATATGGTGAATTGTGGAGAACTCGGAGAGGAATGGGGTGGCACACACAAGAGCCAGAAAAACTGACTGTGCCAGTGTCCAGCATGAATAAATCACCAAGTAAAATCAGCCTAGGAAGCACATTGAAGCCAAACTGAGCAAAACCCGAGACATTCTTTATGTGCAGGAGTATCCCAGTGCACACAATTATATTCTCTCTTTGCCAGACATTTTAAAAAACAGTTCCCATTGGAAGGGGATGGTAAGACAAAGATAATTGCATATGGACTTAATTACACAGCATATATTAGAGATAAATGGCACTTTTGTTTTCCAAAGAAAATAATCATAATCACTACAGAGCCTTCAGAATCTTTAATTGCTTTTGAGTAATTATCCATTTCTCCTTACACTGTGTTCAGTTTAATTTGTGCAACAATTAACTGAAATAAAATACAAAAGTAAAAATAGTCAGGTTTTCTCTTTAATTATTTATTTAAGACTGGGAAGATAAATCATCCCAGATTTTAAATCTGGTTTCCTGATTCTAGTTATTAAATTCCAGATATTTATTTGCATTTCCTGTTGTTGGCACAGAATCACCTTGTGGGCTCACATATTAAGAAAGACAGCTATAACCATTTTAATGGCTTTATAAATTAGTAAGGTAATAAACACAAAATAAAGGTATTCTGCATCAGTGTGTTCTTCATTAATTTTCATGCTGCTGACACCAGTTTAGTTTTTAATTATGATACTGTTTTGTGATTCACTGGTGGCATCACTGGAAGATAAAATAATGAAGCCTTTTTCTAACAGGATATATAAAGAATAACAGGAGATTTTGCCATGATAATCCCTCTCTAAGCAAGACAGAAACTGCCACTTATGTGTGAGAGTGAGGAAGTCCATGTTTTAATAGAATGTGGATTAGATTTCAGTGTGGATTTTTCGGTTTTAGAAAAAGAGATGGAGTACATTCAGCAGAGGACTTTTCACAAAATCAGCTTCAGCTTTGTGTTTCCATTCCTTTCTCCATAAACTAAACTCATTGCAGATTAGGTCTTGTGGAAAGCCAATTTTATGAGCATAGTTTTGCACTGCCATAAAGTGGAAATTGTATTCATCAGCATGGAGAGAAACCTTTCAACAGGACATAATAAAGAATTTTAAATAGAATAGTTTTTTTCCTTTTTTTCCAGTTCTGGGGGTCCAAACAGAATTGAAATTCTTTACAGTTACACCTCTTGCTCATTTGGAATGTTTTCTGAAGTCACCACTGTCTTTTATCCCTCGCCTGTATGTGGAGATGGGTGTTTTAAACCAGGCAGCTGCTGGTGGCTAAGCCAACACAAGAAATAACCTTTCCTCCCCTGTGTATGAAACTGGACTTGATACATTATTCAGTAAATTCATGCAAAATTTCTAGGTACTAATGACAAACCAGTGAAATGCTGAGCTTCATAGTTAATTCCAAGTAAAAGAGATTAGATACATCCTGATGTCACATTAAAATGACCATCTGAGGAAGGTCACACACTGCATGTCTGCCACTGCCCACACTGAGGAGGGCCATGGCAGAAAAACAATTTATTACCTATTGCCTGTTCTATTAGCTGGTGATAAAGTCCAAAAGTCTGAAGTCTAAAATTACAAGACCAGTTTTCTTTTCACATGTGAAGCCCATGCTATCCTGGTCTCTGCCGCTTTTTCGAAGCACTTATCTAATAACAAACTGTATCTGCAATTTTCAGCCTGATGCACAAGCTAAGGCAGAAGAAAATATCTATCTCCCCTTGATTCCTAAGTAAAATCCCACCATACAGCTGTTAAATTAGTGCATGCACCACAGAGCTCAATAAACAGAAATTGTCAGAAACCCTCCTGAAAGGTGGCATGAATGAAAATGAAAGTAATCAAATTCTGAATTCTTAGCTATCTTACCAAGGAAGAAGTCACAGATGGCCCACTGAGGAATCAATTATGGATGGAAGGTTCATGATCCAAAAGCTTTGTGCCAGTGAGATGAATCTTAAAGGTATAATAAATGATGATAACGTTAGGAGGGAGATACATAGCAGAGGAGAAAAGATAAAGTGAAAATGGACTGTAGGATGGAGCCTCACTCATTTGTCACAGCCGCTACAGAAGACACAAAAATTGCCTTTTTATCCCCTTCCCCACCCCAGTCAGGTCCAGCTGCTCCTTTATTCTGAAACTCTCCCTCTCAAGTGGATGTAATTTCAATATTCTGCGGGATAACAGCCACCAGCATCTTTAGTAGCCTGCACTTCCCAGGGAAATTTGGTCAGGGCCAGGCCTGGAACTAAAGAAATGCACTGATACAAAATTTCCCTGCATTTTAATATAACCAGAAGTGGGAAACTGTTCTTTTTCAGGTGATTGAACCAGCTTAAAATTCTCTGTTTGAAATGTGTTGGCTGCCCCCTGAGTTTCTGTTTGAATCAAAAGCTCAGTACAGACTGCACACTGCAGTGAGGGAGAAGCTCACAACAGAGTAATTCCCAGCAAAACTCCTTTTTTTCCCACAGGTGGGACATGAAAATGTTTATTTTTCCAGTGCTGGCTGTAACAGAGCAGGATCCATCCAAAGAGTAACCAAATGCTTGCTGTGGAAGCAGCTGTGTCCCATCCCTGGGTGAGAAGCCTTTCTCTGTAAAGCTGGTGGGTTCCTGTAACATGGGCCATTATTCAAATACCATCACGGAATGATGGCAATGAATATAACAGTAAAACTGGAATAACAAAAAAACTACTTTTTATATATATATATATATATATATAGGCCACCTAGAGAAACTCTGTGAATGCAGTTTGAAAGGGCTTTTACTTTATTAGTAAAACACATTTAGAAGCTACTAGGCTTGACAAGGATAAAACATTGTATGAATGTCTTCTCCAAAATGGAGAAAAGTGACTATTAAAAATGTCATTCTATTCTCATTCATCGTGTCTCCTTTGTGTATTCACAAACTTCCACCTAAAGATAGTTACAAATTATTTTTGTAATCAATTTCACTTTTTCCTGTATAAATATGTTTTTCCCTAGACTGGAAAACAATTTTAGCTTTGCAAGTTGAACTTTATTAAAAGGCGTAGTCATCATTCCAAGCCTTTATTGCATTTGTCTGCGAGCTTGAATTTTTTTAGTTTTAAACAGGATGATAAATAACAGAGGGTTGACTTTTATGACTGGAATGTGTCTGGGAACATTAACACCACCTTTGACATAATGGCCTTTTTTTTTTTCTCTCTTTTCACTGATAGAAGTTACCCATTAATTATTCTCCTACATCCGTGAAAACATTTTGGAGCCTTTTGGTACACAAAAAAACCCAGAAACTTCAAGGAATGAGGATGTAGTCCAGGAATGCAGAGAAGATTTTTATTCAAATTCTCCTTCACAAAGTCTGTCACCAGGTTACAGTAGCTCAGTTCTAGACCATGCAGAACAGAAATTAGCACCAGGTAAGAATGAACCAACCCTTAAGAGTTCTAATGCTCACATGGAGTAAAACATGAGAAGCAAGAGGACACCCCCATGTAACAGTGTCTGTTTCCTTATTCAGTAATTTTAAGATTTCAGAAAAGCTGGAAATATTGCCTATAAAAGATTCCGGTCAATTTCAGCATTTGTTATTTTTTCAGGCATTTTTTACACTGTAGAATACTTCATTTTCTTTCCACCTGAAATTTTAAATTTTTCAGTAAATCTTGCCTGACCTGACCATCAATTCTAGCAATTCTGAAACTGCATTTTCAATAAATGTATTATTTTCTGACTTTATTTTATTTTGACTGCCCGGTACTGGGCACGCAGCTTTACCGGTGGAGACTGGGACTTGGACTAGAAAGGACTGAAAAAACACAGAATATGGAACCTTTTTCTGGGAAATGTATTTCCTCATACAACAAAATCTGAGCAGGATTTTTTCCTGGCAGAACTGCCTGTGTACCATATTGTTTGTTTTATCCTCTGTGACAAAGGCAAGCGTGGTTGTTTACAACTTATGAATAGCAACAGACCAGCAGAAAATATTTCAAAGTCTGTGCAACTTATTTCCTTTCAACTAAGAACCTGATGTATTGTAAAGCCCCAGCATCTGCTGCCATTCAGCATGGGGCAACAATAGATTATTTCTGCTGCTGCTGCTCAGCAAGAAGAAAAATATGTAATTTCTAGTCTTGCAAATGCCTTTCATAGCCTTTTTTCTTCTACCACAGAAATCCCCCCTGTCCTGCAACTGAAAATTCTCCAGTATTTAAATCTGAGAATATATAGACAGTGCTGAACAGGGACCTTCTGTCTTTTCTACAAGTCAGAAAATCTTTTAGTGAAAAAGTTGAGGAAGCCTCAGGCTAGCACAACAGAAAATAAGCCCTTGGAGCTTGTGGGAATCATGCCAGGCTGATGGCTGCATTCAACCACTGGTTCCACCTCCTATTTTAAGTACAAAAATTAACTGAATCTCTCAGGTTCAATGAGAAGACTGCTAGAATTCAGCAGGCACTGGGATAATCAGTAAAAATAGGAACAGCAAATAATAGCAGATGTGTGGGACAGCAAGGAGAGAGGCTGTCTGCCCACAGAAGCAATGCAGAGGGGCTGGAGAAAGGAAGAGGGAAATCACAGGCTGAAAGGAGCAGGAAATATATTTTCCTTTTAAAATGTCTTGTTCACTCACAGCTGCCTTCCAAACAGTAGTTCAGAGGATAAAACAACAACAATTCATTTTAGTAAGTGTTACAAGCAATGTGGAGATAGCAGCTCTGCCTGAAGCACACATGATTTTTGTCCCCCCATTTAGATTATAAGAATTTAAAAAATCTCAAAGTCCTGCTAAGCTCTGAATCTTGCATTCAATTTGTAGGAACACAGTGTGAGACGAGCCCACAGAACTGCAGCTGTCAAACTTTAACCTAGATGTAAACAAACCTATAACCCAGCCAGACAATTTCCAGTGTAAGAGTTTAAAAAAATGACTACAAAAAGACTTATTCTAGGAGGCCAAATCTCAAAATAAAAATATTTAATGAAAATTTGTACAGGATATAATAACAGGTAGGTGTTTTTTAATAGTACAGAGGCAGTCCTCGACAGCCTTAGATCTATTATCTCCTCAGTTCTGAGCAAAAAAGTCTTCCTGTAGCTTCCTTTGATATTTATAAAAATCAGAGTACCTGTAACCTGGTTTCCTTAGAGTGTTATGATGTTTGCCTCCTCCTAGCAATGGGGAGCTGAACACTTTAGAATGGCTCACTTCCTTCCTTGCTCATCTCCAGAAATAAACACTCAACATCTTTCTCTCCTAAATTGTCTCTCAGCCCTGCCAGCTTTTTCTTGAGTCTCATCTTATTGGTGCCTCACTCTGTGACATTGTTGGAGCATCAGTACCCAAAAAGTAGCAGACTTCAGCACTGGAACAACACAGGCTCCTTGGGACAGGCTGTAAATCCCAAAGCCAACCTCTAAACTTTCAGGTGCTGCCTTGTCCCAGCTGTGGGTGTGTAAAGCCTGACTCACCTCCTGCCTGTGGCATGCTGAAGTGGTTCCATCTTCATTCAGGGCTTCCAAAGAGCCCCAAAATGCAGCCTGGCCGTGCCTAAATGCCACACAGCTTCCCATACTAACTATAAACATCAATGGATTGACGGGTATGAAGCAGTTAAAACACAGTAAAACAATTAATTCTACAATTAGCATTAGTTGTCTCACAACCTATCAACATATACTTCCTGACTGAAAAATTAAGTCTTAACAGATTTATTTGTTCTAGGTTTTGTACAGGCCGTGTGGCTTTCTCTGGTCAGTAATATCCTCTTTAGTGTAATTTCTCTATGTTACATCAACCTTGTTGCGGCCTTATTTATCCTTCCAGAATCTCTGCACATACCACACTCTTTAATAAGAAAGTGTAGCCAGACTGGTGGCCATAAATCTTCCTAAGAAATCCTCATAGCCTGCCCTGAGAACTGTGATGCAGAGCAAAGAGGGGAATGGATACACGAAGGAGCTACAGGAGTCGTCAGGAAGCAAACCAGGCTGTAATTTTAGTCAGATACTCTTGCTGAAAGCAGAGTCTGTGTGTGTGCTCCTTCTCTGTGGGGAGGAGGGTTTGCCACCCTAATTCTATTGAAATACATGCCATCATTATCCTAAATGGTAAATATAAAAGCACACACACAGAGTACTGTCAGGTGTTTATACCTGTGCCTTTCTTATATCAAGTACTTGTAGGCTGTGAATCCCTGTCCTCTGTGAACAGAGAATCTCTGAGCCAGCATTACTTGGAGGTGACTGAGAGCACATCCAAATTCCAAGGACTGGTGTGTAAAACAAGAATAAATTTATTCAAAATGTACAGATTAAAGCAGCAGTGATGAGGGGAGTACTTGGCACGTTCCTCCAGACAAAACAACTCTGTGCCCACAGCATCCAGAGGGGGCAACCAGGTCACATTTAACCTCAGATGGCAGGGCACATATGAGGGCTAGATATATTTGCTACCATGACTTCTTTTTAACAATAACAAAACCAAGGCCTGTCTTTCTTGATATGATTTTGAAAAATTTTGAATTCAACCATCCAATAAATATTTTTTCCTTCAGCACTTTTACCATGTCAGCAGGCCTGAACTACTCTTCTGCTACTTGAGAGGCATTAAACCCACAAAGAAAACTACTCTATTTTCCATCTTTCAAAGTACCTCTCCATGAAAAACTGAATAAGAGCAAGGGGAGTGTTGGGCTGTTTTCCATAAATGTGAGATGCATGGTGATAAAACAGCTGGCATTCCAGAGAGCAGGGAAGTGGCTGTGAGGGGCTGCCCTGCAGGCAGCACAGCCTGGGGCTGGACAGGGCGTTCCAGAAGGAGCCTGGCTCACCTGGAGAGCTGCTCCATCATCTGCCAGATGATGCAGATAAGGCTTGGGCTTTCTTATCAATGCTCATGCAGCACCCAATGGAAACAGGAAATAATCTCCCTGTAAGCTCCCTCCAGACAAATGATTCCATTGCAGAGCACACCTGCACTTCAAGGTGCATTTCAAGTGAGATCAGGCCAGGGGACACGTTGGCCTTCTGTGCCTGAGAGACAGCTGAAGACAGAAACTCTTAGAAATGCCATTTCAGAACTGGGAATGGAAATATTTCTTTTTTTTTCACTGAGTACTGCCAGCACAGAATCTTTTTACTTTTCTTTATATATAATATCATCTATAAGGCCAGCTTTGAGTTACAATGCACAAATCACTACACAAAAGAATGGACTATACAATATTTTATAGGCTACATAGGTAACAGAGAAAAGAGATACAACCACCACAGAAAGGAGTCTCTTGGCTATGGCAGACCTTTATGGAGGAGGCAGGCATGACCATTATGTCATACCCTGGAGGAAACTGCACTATCAGATATATTTCAATTACAGGTTAAAATAAATGGCTTGCTTTTAAAACTATACTGTAAGAGTGAGATATTTAAAATTACTCAACTGATTTCTCTGGATTTATTTTTTCCTGCTGGAAATCAGCAACATTTGTTTTCTTAAATCACTTAGGATTTTAGAAACAACAGGTACAATAAAGCAAATTCTGGCAGTTTAGGTGCACCACTTGTCATTGCTGCAGGACCAAATCCACAAACCCAGCCTGCAGGAAGCTGAAACAGACTGCATCTGTTAAACAACCACACCAAAAAATGTTCATGAATTTTCCCTAGATCACTGATTCTTCACCTACTCTATATGCAAATATTTTTCAACACACCGAGCAAAATCCTTCTGCTCGCTGATAATTTTTAAGCAGCAAGAAAGACAATAGTCCCAAGAAAGAAATAATGGGGAAAAAATCAGCAATACTTATCCATAACATTATAGTTTTCACTGGTAGCTTACACAGTAGTATCATGATCCCTTTTTTAATTATTTTTCAGTTAAGAAACTGAGAAACAGAGAGATTATGTAATTTTTGAAAAGTCAGAAACTGATAAGCAATCTGAGTTCCATGCCTGATGCCCATCCAGAGAGACAAAACCTCATTGTTCCTTCCTGGAAAGGCTAGAAATGTTTAAGGAAAAGAAAATCAAATTATATTAGATAACTTTTGTATTGTAAACTGCACAGGATACTGAATAAAAATAACTGAGTGGTTTTATTTTTTTCCTGCACACAATCTTTAAATGACTGTACTATTTATCACAGTGATCATGAGAGCTTTACTAAATCTTCATAAGTATTTAAATATTAATCTTTTTTTTTCTCCCCTGGAAGATTTTTAGCAAAAAATGCTGGCAAGATAGTGGGTACAGATAAAAGTGCATGAGTCATACTCCCATGACAGAAAAAAAAGTACTTTAAGTGACTTCTTTCTTTTGAGTATGCACATGGCTCGTACAGAGCAATAAATTAACTTGCTTTTCAATACTGAAGGAGAACCGTGAGACCACTCAGTCTTCTGTGATGAGTAATAAGGGTTGAAAACAACAAAAAAATAACATCTAAAGCATCTAATTCTCTTTTTATAACCACAATAGCTGGTAGCCACAGGTTTCTCTACAGGCATTTTTATATTTTAGACTAGTCACTGCACATTTTGAAACTTGCATTAAAATTTTTATGACACTGCTGGGCAACCAGAAAAACACACAGGAGGTTCATTTACAGACAATTCCAGGCCTGAAATAAGAACTTTATGTATAATTCTCCAGTTCTAGGATGCATATGGAATAATTCTATAGTCCAAAACTTGCTTTCTGGAAACAAAATTTAAAGGTATTGGTAGGGATAGGATGAGGTGGATCTGAGAACAGATCTGAAGACTTCCAAAAAAGCTTTACCTGTGTATTTTATGCATGTTAAAAGAGAGAAAATCCAAGTCCTGGCAAAAACCTTACCAAGCACAGATTTATTTCACTTTGAGACCTCAACTCATCCACACCATCAGGAAAGGATACAATCACATGGACCTTTTATACATTGAAAGACACAGCTAAGAGAGAAGTATTCAATTTGTTTCTGCTCTCCAGGACAGTTCTGCTGGCAACTGAACTTAATTTGAAACTGATCTCACTAAACAATCCTTAAAAGCTTGGCTTTTGTTCCTCCTTCACTTTATTTAAAAATCTTTCAGGAACTAAAGAGGATATTCTGGAAGCAAGGAAATCGATGCTCCTCTGGCAATCCAAGGCATATGCCCTAGGTGTGGGATTTAAAAAAATTATTCTGACTGAATTTTGGCTCTTTTTATGCATCCGTTTTGTATCTTTATAGCAAATCTCAAATAAAGAGAAGTCCAGTCAATCAGTCTCTTGTACCCCAAAGAAGAAGGTGAGTTATTTAGTCTTTTAAATGCCTGCCTGATGAACTTCTCTACATTTCTGATATGCACACAGAGGTGACAGCTCTCCCTGCTGTACCATACATAAAATTTTTAAAGCAATTATCCTAAAAAGACTTCTTAGTGAGGGAAAACATAGGAATACTACTGTCTGCTTGAATTGGAGGAGAGTCATCAATCCAAATTTACCAATGGTGGGCTAAGGTCCAGTGAGGTTAAATAATTTACTCTAAAACATGCAGTAAATTGGTAAATTAGTAACATCAAGAAGTGATTTAAAGCTCTTCTTTCAATTTTATTTGAAAGAGATATATGCTCCAGTTCTCAATGAAATCTGTAAATTTTGCATTAAAAAAGCCATGAACTCTTCTCTTTAATAGTGTGAAAGGGTAAGAAATTGTTTGGTTTTTTTCAAAAAATCATCTTGAGATCCACGTGTCTGCTGGTGGAAAAATAGAACTCCTCAAGTAGTGTGGTTGGCAGCCATACAGTCATGGGGAACAGAGGAGAACAGCAAAACTTCATCTGTCAGGACTAAAACTATCCAGAGGGGATTTAAAAAAATTATTCTGACTGAATTTTGGCTCTTTTTATGCATCCGTTTTGTATCTTTATAGCAAATCTCAAATAAAGAGAAGTCCAGTCAATCAGTCTCTTGTACCCCAAAGAAGAAGGTGAGTTATTTAGTCTTTTAAATGCCTGCCTGATGAACTTCTCTACATTTCTGATATGCACACAGAGGTGACAGCTCTCCCTGCTGTACCATACATAAAATTTTTAAAGCAATTATCCTAAAAAGACTTCTTAGTGAGGGAAAACATAGGAATACTACTGTCTGCTTGAATTGGAGGAGAGTCATCAATCCAAATTTACCAATGGTGGGCTAAGGTCCAGTGAGGTTAAATAATTTACTCTAAAACATGCAGTAAATTGGTAAATTAGTAACATCAAGAAGTGATTTAAAGCTCTTCTTTCAATTTTATTTGAAAGAGATATATGCTCCAGTTCTCAATGAAAACTCTTTTGGGGGACCTATGAATATTAGCAGCTTTTGAATTTGATAAAAATAAATGGGCAGTTGTAATTTTGACTTTACTGGTCTTTGGACTTTATAGGTGTAGGTTTTAAATTATTCAAATTAGATATTGGTGGGGGAAAAAAAGAGTTCTTTGCATGCTTCTATAAGCTTTAAATCCCCTCTGGATAGTTTTAGTCCTGACAGATGAAGTTTTGCTGTTCTCCTCTGTTCCCCATGACTGTATGGCTGCCAACCACACTACTTGAGGAGTTCTATTTTTCCACCAGCAGACACGTGGATCTCAAGATGATTTTTTGAAAAAAACCAAACAATTTCTTACCCTTTCACACTATTAAAGAGAAGAGTTCATGGCTTTTTTAATGCAAAATTTACAGATTTCATTAGAGCTTGAAACAAAGGCCTGTGGTAGGGAGTGTTTATGGAAATTAGTCCAGAGGAAACTCTTAGGAATGACAAGATTTTTCAGAGAATAATCTTGGTTAAATTTGGAGTCCTAGATTTTTCTGAAAATCTGCCTCTGCTTAAGAATACCATTTTTCTTCCTCCCAGGATATTAAGACATTTTAGGCTGCTGAACCATGACACTTTCAAGCCAGTAGAGTTATGTGGCACTCATGGCTGAGCTGTGGCTGAAATTCCCCCCATTCATCCCCTTGTTCAGGCTATTTTTGAAGTCTTGTGAAAGTCAGGTACTTGTTTACCCATCTTTTACTTGCTGGCTGGAATGAAGAAAGCATTTACTTATTTCTGACTTCTTACCTTACTCCTGACTTCTTTACAGCAGCCCTGTCCCAGGTACAGAACAAATCTGCCCAGACACACTTGACCAACAAAGTAAACACAGCTTTTTTGGGAAAGAATAAAGAAAGATAAGCATTAAAGTCACATTAAGCCTAAAAACATTCCTAGGTTTAATGCCAGTTTGCTCCAGTAATTTTATATTTTTGGGGTTTGTGTCATAACTTCTGTTTCAAAACCTGGTGCAGGACATCTTTTTCCTGTATCCCAGTCCTGTTTCTATATCCTGTAGCTTAATTTAAAGCTTTCTCCTTTTCCTCTGTTATTTAGGAAGGCTATTCTATTTTAGCCCATTATATTGATATATTTGAGTGAGTCTGGCATGGCTCCTTTTGCGCATTAGTTACTCCACAAAGAAGAACCAGGAGGATAAAAGATAAATGTCAGAAATGGAGGAGAAATGTGATGATATCTGGAAATTTCAGTTCAAGCATTGTTACATTGCTCTTCAAAGCTTTCCTGAAAATTCATTCCAGGGAAACACAATGCTGGTTATCTCACACCAGACTTGCCCTCCTTCTCTTAAGGACATGATAATTCATTTTTTTTTTGTGCTCTACCTTGGCATAAGTTATCCCTCTTCAAGCATGCACAGAGCTCATGTGGGGTAGAAAAGACAGCAATAATTTCTAACAGCTGGATATTCTGGATTCCTTTGCTAGTTGTCAGTACTACTCCAGCATTAAAAACAGCAGATGCTACACATATTATGGTTTCTATATAATAGATGTAGGAAATGCTTTTTAACCTTAGAAAAAGGAAGACATTAGACCCTTATTTTTGGAAGCTGCCAGAGGCACTGAGTTGTCTGCACAGTCATCATGCTCATATCAAGCAGATCTTCAGAGTGTGCATCTGAAGATTCCATCTTAATTCTGTCTAAAAGCTGAAATAGCTTTGTTTAGAAATTTATTTCTGTTAGTCAAACTTCAGAGTGCACCTTGCTTGTTAGTATTTTAGCACTGGCAACAGGCACCCAAAATGGACCTCCAAAACTTGAGACAACCAACAGTTTTAGGAATGCGAGCAAAAGGATTTGTGCACAGGCAAAACCCCTCACTTTCTATCTCTGAGCAGCTGCATGCTGTACTTGCATTCTCTGATCACTCCAGGTGTTTCCTGGGTAGCTCATTCCTGGGTAGCTTATTTCAAATAAGTAGATTATCTTAACTTCAGAGCTCTCAGAAGTGACAGACTCTCAAAACTACAGAAAAAAAAAGAGTTGGAAAGATAATACTTTTGTTTTAAAAATGCATTTCTTAAGCTCTTTCATCACAGTGGAAACCATTAGGTTACCTCATCTGAAGAAAGGTAAATGCCAAATCCAACAAATCAATGCTATTAATATTAAAACTATTTAATAATGTATCGTTTGGATCCTTCTCTGGGTTTTCTGCTTGCAGTGCCTAGGACTTCATAGTAGCAGCAATGCAGAACAGAGAGGCAAAGCAGTTTCCATGACAACAGAAGTACAACTTGATGCATGAGATATAATTAAAAGGTCCAGAACCTCTGCCTTGCAACCCAGCTCTCCTCTCATCAGAATGCCTCACGCCATGGATCACATGGCTGACCAGGCTCCTGTGCTCTGCACACTCTTGGCTTTCCCCAGTCCTGCTGAAGAGCAGCAAGTACAAACTGTGTTCTGCTAATTGGGAAGTTCACTCACCTTTCAAATAGCAGCCAAGCTGGCGAGGCAGAATCTGCTGTTTCAGAACTGCCTCTAAAGAGGGAAGGGTTGGAAAACAACTTTAAAGGACAGAGAGAAGCCATAATCAAATATTTTCTTAAGTGTCCTTGCTTTTTGGGAATACAGTCTTTGGAATATTTTTCCTTGATTCTAGAGGCTGAAAAAAATACATTGATTTTTCCATCTGCCTGTGCTGCTTTTCACCTCTGCATGAAGAAGCAGGGAAGGGAAAGTCCTGCACAGCTGCAGCAAGCAAGGCTTGAGCAGCAGCACATCCCTTCCAATTTTGTGGTTAAAGAATTTGGCTGCATCCTGACACCCACATCACCATCCACACAGCATCACACTGCAAGGATGGCACACTGCCACCCAATGGGTTTCCATGCTTTATGGAGAATTTGCAGCTCTTAATTGCACAGACTTTCAATTCATTAAAATTTCAACAACGAGGGAAATTTCTCACTTCCAATAAACCTTTTTTTTCTTGTCCAAGCAAGAGATGTGAGGATGGGGAGTCTCATAAGGGGCATCTGAGGGATCTGGGTTTTTTTAGGCTGGAGAATGGAGGCTCAGAGGAGACCTTATTGCTCTCTACATCTCCCCAAAAGGAGGCTATAGCCAGGTGGGGGTCAAGCTCTTCTCCCAGGTGATGGAATAAGAGAAAACAACCTCAAATTGTGGCAGGGGAGGTCAGATTGGATAGGAGGAAAAATTCTTCACTGAGAGGGTGGTCAAGTATTGAAAGAGGCTGCTCAGGAAAGTGGTGGAGTAACCATTCCTGGAAGTGCACAGAAAACATGGATATGCTTCATTTCTTACCATTCCAGACCTTCATTTTCCAATCTGAACTATGTTTATGACCACAGATCTTTGCACCTCAAGTTTTTCATTCATTTGAAGCAGACTTGAAGAGTATAAATTTCTCTTTTAGCACAGTTATATTACTGCTGTGGTTACTGACTAATTTCAGTGAATGGCAAAGCAGGAGGCAGTGGCTGCTTTCTCTCCCTGCTGTCTTCTGATTCCAGCAGATGCAGCATCATCTGCTGCTTTGCAGAAGACAGCAGAAAATGTGCTCTTTCAAAGGTGCCTCCCCAAACTGAATGGATTTATTTTGTCTAATGGCAAAGGTTTTTTCCAAATGCTGCATGGATTAATATTTTTCAAAGAAAAGGTCACTCAAATCCTTCCTAATGGGAGAAGAATTAAGTGACTTAGCTGAGCCAGCTGATGAACAGCAGCTCCCTTGGTATTAGTCAGCAGTGGTTTCAGCTTAGTTATTGACAGAACTAAAATATCCAGTGGTATTTATACTCTGTCTTCTCCTAGTGCCAAGCAGGGATAGTGGGATTGCTGACCAGAGACTGAGCACAAACCTTCACCCTTTTAAAGCCTTACTTAGGCTTTAGGGTGAGAATAATGTGTTCTGGATCCCTGAATACCTCTTTAGTGTTTTCAGGTTAATGGAAAGGTGTCACACTCAGTTTTTAAACAGAATCTTTCTGACTTTTCTGTTCAAGCACGCTGCAGCTCCAACTTACATTCACCCTCCCCTCCTATTCATTACAATTTTTTCTAATATATTTGTTTCCTTCAAATCTAGAGGAACATTCTGATTTATCTGTATCACTCTGTTAATACAAAAGCATTGTAGTAACTAAAATCTGAATTAGCATGCAGTAAATATCTTAGCTTGCATCTTAAAAATATGCAAACATTAGCACAAGTATCTGTCCCTAGGCCAGTCTCTTTTGTCCTCACAGATGACATAGCAAAGGCTACAGTGAGGTTCCCTTAGCAAGATTTCATCATTATTATTATTATTATTGTTGTTATTATTATTGACAATTACCAGTATCCATTAGCAACAGAATAAAATAATATGGCAGAGTATATTATGCATAAAAAGGTATCTTAAAAGTATAACTTTTGTAGTAAAGAAACACTGTGGTGCAGTAAATTTGACTTTTCATCATGCCTGTCCATTTCTTTGTTAATTCACAGAATTCAATAAACCCCTGTAAGTGTCCAAGTGGGTGGTGAGGTGTGGTAGGATTTTAATGTACTGCAGTGACAGCCTTGTTCACCGTGTAATTAAGAAAAAATTAATCAAGCATTACTTTAAATATATGGTAAAGCCCACTTACCAGCTCACAGTTGTCTTAGATGGATTTTTATTTCCATGCACAAACCAGCATTCATTAGTGCAATGTAAATCTGCTCATTTAATACCATTTGTAATAGTAATGATTTCCATTTTAATGTCAAGAGAAAAATCACTGGTTGCCTGCTCCAAAGAGCACTTAATGTCCATTAGTGCACACGGCACAAATGAGTTTGCAAATTTAAACAGACTTTTCAGCAATAGTTATTATCTCCAGTCTATCTGGACAGTGCAGGTGTGGTAAGAGCCATTGTATTTTTACTCATAGGCCTAAAAACACTTGAAAGTCTTTAAAACACCAAGAGCTTTTATATCCTTAAGACTGCAGGGCTATTTAATCACATAAAAATTGAAAATCTCCTCCATGCTCGGTACTACAACTGCCCTAAGTTGTGTTGATGCTGACTCATAATTAATTATGTGTCTACTTCTTCCCTGGAGCTACCAAAGGAGTGGCAGAGTATCCCAGAGTGGGTGATGAGAGCAGCACATCTGAATGGGTGAAGGGAAAAAACAATCTGGCAAGTTTTATAATGGCTCTGGGTACCTGTGTCTCCAGCAAAGACAAGAGAGCAAGACCTGCAAACTCAGAAAATGCTTAAAGAAAAGGTGGGGAAAATATAAACAGCAAGGGCTACATCAAGAATGTACACAGGAACAGACATAAGTACTGAGGATGAGTGATTTGCTCTACATTTTATTAAAAAAAAAAAATAAAAAAAACTAAAAACCAAAAAACCCACCAAACCAGTAAAATTGGTTTGAGAACTGAGGAGCACAGAGTATTAACACTGTATTCTTTTATATGCTTATTATATCTGATCCTCAGTACAAGTTCTTTTGGACATCAGAGCTATCCCTTGACGTCTGAGCACCTTGGTACCCTCACTGTGACCTGTGGAATTGTCAAATTACTGCTGCAAAAAGGTTCAGATGGAGTTAAATCATCTGTAGCTCATCTCTGGAGGGCATCACGATAAAGCTGTGCCATGTCTCAAAATCCCACAAACAAAACTGAGCTGTTTCATCAGTCCACACAGATTTTTCTGTTACTAAGCCTAAGAAAACTTACTCTGTAGTACCTGTGATCCTGGAATAATTTCTATTTCTAGTTGTATTTGAATTGCAACTGCACCCCTGTTGTAATTCTCAAAAAAAGTGCTCAGACCCTCACACTTCCTCCTCCCTGGAACTCTTGCTGAGGATCATATATTGAGAAAAATTAAATGACCCCTGCAGGCTCATCTCCCAAGGTCAGTGCTGCATTTTTTGCCAATGATTAAATATGCATCCAGCAATCAATAACATTATATTCCCAAGGTACACGCTGTTCTTCAATTATGGTATTTAGATGGAGGGCCTCTCAGTATCAACTAGCTCAATAATACTTTGCAGATCTCATTTTATTCAAACCTCTCCTAACAATTTAAGGTTGGGAAAAATATCTGTATTTTTGGTAGGTTTCTTGCATAACCTTCCTTCCCCAGAAGCTTTTAGTCACGTTCCGATTTCTTGTTATTCCCAGAAAATAATGAATTTAAATTAAATTTAACATTGTTGTGTCAATTTTACCTTCCCAAAGAGCTTTCTTCCTGATCTTTACAGCAGCTTTAGCAAAGAGCTGAGCTTCTGCCAAGAGATGAACTTTGGTGGTGTTTTTACAGCACCATTATGTCCTCCATGCATGAAACATTAAGATTATGACAGGTTGCCAGTCTGGAGGCAACAGACTGGTTTAAATGCCTCAGAGGTGTCATGCCAGTCAATTCTCCTGTCTCACTCTTACTGGTCATAGAAATATGTATTAATGAAGGGTGAATAATTAAAGAGAGGGGATGAATTACAAGGGACAAGACAATGTCACAAAAGTGGGAACTCAAAAGGAAGGATTTAAAGAGAAGGATCCAGTCTACTGAAAGACAATAAAATCCACTGTGTGCCACTCACAGCCGCCACACATTTCCTCCTCACCTGCCTCATTTGGGCAATTCAATGCACCTTAGCTGGATCTGAAGATGTCAGAAGCTGATCTGAAAGGCTGCAGAGAGTTGAAAAGTATTTGTCCACGCAAGCCCTACAATATTCAGGAGTATTTGCTGTTCCTGACTTCCCAACAGAGCAGCCTTCCCCATCCTTCAGAAGCATCACAAAAGAAAGAACTCCATGGTCTTCAAATGCCAGACTGAAGTTTCTTGAGGAGGCATTTGAGGGGAGGGCCTCCTTCACCAGGTAAGTTGTTTTAAGCACACAGAGCTCCTCTTATCTCTCAAGGAATACAGGGGATGAAGGAAATGACAAGGAAATACTGTCAAGAAGTTCTGAATTTCAGAAAAGACCAACTTCTACCTGTTCATCAGGGCATGTCTGTCTAGGATCATGTCTAGAACCACGTTGATCCACTTGGAATACACATCTACGTTGATCCACTTGGAATACACATCTAATTATGTGTATTGATGATAATCATCATCATCTCTCATACAGCTGGCAATTTTATTTATGATTCCTTTTATCTAACCACTTATCAGATATCCTGTGTCTCCTTCCTTTTTAATTCGCTGAATCAGCCAGTGAAAGGCAAAACAAATTCTGAAAAGATTCTCTGCACTTATCACCATGTCCAGCTCTGGTTTTTTCATGTACTTGCAAGGTAATTCTGTCTCCTGGAGAAAAGTCAATTATGAAAAAAGTCAAGGGCAA